AATGGAATGGGAAGCCGGTTACCAAACAGCTGATAATAATAAGTAAGTGTTGTACAAGAAATTAATTATGCTCTGGAATAACACAAAACGTTTAGCTATAAGAATATTTGTAACCTTTGAAATAAAAAAGTACCTGATAGAATCATTACTGACAGTCCCTACTTAAAAAAAAGGTCTGTCAACTCAGCATGTTTTAAATTGAATCAGCAGCATTGCTAACTTATTACTGGAGATCACTTAAATTACCAAAGTTTTAAAAATTTATGTGTTGATTAAAATACATTTAAATGAAATATATTTTGTATCTCCAATAATGACAAAATTAGCAGTAGCTCCAACTTATTTTGGAATAGCTTATAAACATACAATGGAAGATAAAATAATATTGAAATTATAGGAATGAATTCCTTATTGAACAGTAAATGTACTTTGTTCTATAAACTTTACTCAGGAGGCTTAATATCCGAAATATAGGTATTAAAATATTGAGAAACTTTTGATATCACAAAGGACGCTGCACAATCCTTATGGAAAGTGGCTTTCGAAACTTTGCAATGTGATAGTTCTGACTGTGTAGATCAAGTCTCAATGGGCACAAAGTCTGAAAATCTTTTGTTTTGAACCTCCGACCCCTGAAAGTTGAATTTTTTCTTCCTTACGCTGCATAATAAGAATACAGCAATTATTTTTTTTGTAAAATTACATTACATTCATAGTAAATGAACCTTGCCCGTTTGATTAGATAGTTTTCAACTTCAGTTCCGACCGGAAGTAGCCTATTCGGACCGAAAGTCAGTTTTTTCAAATAAAATGGTATATTTTTTACTACAATTCAACATCAAAAAATGTGAAACTTTTGTTTAAAACATTTTTTTCTAAACCTTAAATGACCTTTAAAGTTGACCTCGTTCCGATTCCCATGAAAGGCTACTTCCGGTCGGAACCGGAAGTTGAAAACATCTCTAATCGATCGGGCAAGGTCCATTTACTATTAATGTAATGTAATTTTACAAAAAAATATCAATCATTGCCGTATTCTTATTATGCAGCGTAAAGGGAAAAAAATTCAACTTTTAGGGGCCTTAGGTCCAAAACAAAGGACTTTCACACTTTGTGCCCATTGAAACTTTTGATCCACACGATCAGAAGTATCACATTGCAAAGTTTAAAAAAATTTGCCGATAGCCACTTTCCACGGTTTTGAATGACATTTGGTGGAATTTGCAAATGAAGTTCCAACACTATGACCAATGCGGGCAGAGTTAGGAGTTCATCTTTTTTATGTAATATTAGTATGACACTAGCATTTCTACGAGCTGTCATACGGTTTCCTATTTATACAGGTTGCTGTGGAAACTGTTCGTCAATTGTTGCGCATTCTAAGTGGAAAGATCAAAAAAATCTGCATTCTCATAAGACTTCGTACTAAATCGTGAAAAATTATTTTATTAATATCACATCTCTTAGGTACCCAAACTGTCATAATTTTTTTTAAGGATTTTCTTCATTATTATTAAGCTTATATTAATTTTTTGATGAATATTTGTTTGTCAATTCTGTATCAGATAAACCTCCTTAAATTCTTCTAATATAAACAGTAACAAATTCAATAAGCAGCACTGTAAATTTTTTTGATTTCTTTGCTTTGATTCATCTTGAATTCACATTGATATAATAAATCTTATCTTTCACAGCTCCCTAGACAAATTCAATACACTTAAGTTGGGTGAATGAGATGGCTGACATATCGAATGTTGTGCATAATTTTCTTCTAACCACTTATGAATTCGTTAAATTAAACTTTCCACAGAAAAAAACAAGTAGCTCATAAGCACTGCATAATTCCCAGAAAATAGTAAGAGACGAATTCTGACAAATTTTGGATAGTACTTACTACTTAAAACTTAAAAACTTTTATTTAAAGAGAATAGATCTTTTCCAAAACTTGCTTTGTTATCTCGAAATCACCTGTATTTATCTTGGAGGACAAGGGAAAAATTATAAAATAAAACAACAAATGCTCATATATAATACCAATTAACGTAATTTAAATAAGGGAGTGTGATTTATAAAAATTATTTCTTTTGCAGGTATATAAAAAATATAATAAACAAAGAAAAGTGTACACCAACCAAAACTGGAAAAGAAATCCAAAGAAAAAATTTTGATGATAAATATATTCAAAATGGTGATATTAAACACAATTTACCTATTAGACAACAGGATTTTACAGAATTGAAAGAAAAAAAGCAAAAAATTAATAGCCCTACCGTCAATACCAATGGAGTGAAAAGTCAACCAAAATATGACGACAGATTACATATGAAAGTACAAACTCAAAAAGTTGATCATTTAATGAAAGATGAAATAGAAACAGAAAAACCATATGTAGAGCAATTTAATAAAAAAAATTCAGAAAGGCAACCCAATGAGTGTGCCTTTATTAGTTGGTGGAAAAAATCACTCACAAATCTAAAACAGAATCGAAGCAGAGAAATATTAAAACGCAAATACCGGTCCCTACAAAAAAAGATTAGTGAATGTAAGAGATCATTTACAGATTCCAATGTGGAAGAGAGTGAAGAAAACTTAAAATGCAATTACAAATATATTCAAAATAAAGCAAATACATGTAAAACATCCCTTACTAATTTTAAGAAAACACAAAATCAAGATACAACAAAATGCAATTATCAGTACCCGCAACAAAAATTAAATGACTGCAAAGAATCACTTAAAAATCTAAAGCAAAGGTGCAATACAAACACAGAAAAAATTGACTTTGGTGACCGTCTACAAAATAAGATGACTCTATGTAAAATTAAGGAAAACAAATCAAAGAAGGGCATTAAAAACTACTGTAAGTAATATACATCATTAATTTTCCATTCAAAATTACACACATTTTTATTTTTGTCTTTATCCTTAGAAGCATCATGAAACTGAATAAGTATAAAGAATTTTTCTTCTTACAAGTGGATTATTTAAGAGGGATATTTTTTTCATTTATAGAAAAATGTCAGATTTGATTAAAAATTCTGCTTACTTTTAAATTAACATTCTCATTTTAAGAATTTTAAGTTTATATATACGCAGTTTTCATGAAATAAGAACATCTGAAAATTATGTAAGAATAAACAGTCATCGACAGGAATAAATGCTAATAAAGTAAATTATTTAGAATTAAAAGTTAAATCAGAAAATCACAGCATTCTACTGATAACTTCCTGGGAGAGATAAATGGGACTGGAACAGGACTGACCTTTTTAAGGCATATTATTGGTACTTATGACCAGCAAATGAATAACAACAGAGTAACTTTGGTTTGGATGTCCTTTTGACATAGACACAAAAAAAACATTTGCATGCTGGAAAAATATTTGACAAAATTAGCTCACTTGAAGGTATTTATAACAGACACATCGAAAAAGAATTGGGCACCTTATTGTTGTCCAATATTTCTGGACATGTTAACATTATTTTTTTTATCTCTGGGTACTGAATAAAGTACACTATACTTGCTATGTTGCTAAATTTAGAAAGTTATATTTTATAAGATATCTAGCCAAAAATTATGTTTATTTTAAAAAATTCCAATGACATCATCGGCAGGAGGATACATGGAATACATGATGCATACTACACGCTAGTAAAGAATCTTTGTCTCGCAACCTATCCGCCATCTCGTTGTTTTTTAAATCTTGAGTAGATCAAAGTGTCATATGAAATATGCTATAAATGGATATTAATAAGAAATTATTAAATAAATAGAAAAAAAAAACAATCGAGATGTAAGTGGTGTGATGTTAATTGTGAAAATATAGAGGTGAAAATCCTGAATTACAATGTTACCGTTGACCTGGACATTCTTATGAATGTCAACCTCAATTGGAGCAGTATCGACTTTTATAAGTGCAATTTTTTCCCGTTGTGCTTTCAATCTCTCACCTCGCAAATGTGCGTTAAAATTTTGTTTTTTTCTATACCGGGTGGGGCATTTACCTCGAGACAAAATAATATCCCAGTATTCTTTCAAAAAAAGTTTTAGACAAAAACTTGTAGGGCACCGAGCGGACCATTGAAAGGTCCATTTTACTACTTCCGATCTAGACCAAAAGTGGTGTTTTTAGATCGGATCTTGATTTATTTAAATGGAAACACCCATTTTTTTACAACGGATTTCGATTGAAAAACGAAAAAAAATTTCTTAGTATTCTTTCGATATAACCCATATTTTGGCCATAAAAAAACAAAAAAAATAATAATAATCTTGAAACAGCGGAGTACCTTGTTGAGATCACTTAAAAAAAAATGTTTCATGCAAAAGTTGTAGGGTGAAAAGGGGGTTATCTTGACCTTGACTTCAAAGTCGTTTGAAGATCAAATCACAAAATTTCTTCACCAAATCATAAAAATCTTCAGAAATCTGAAAAATTCTTCATTTCACAGAAAACAAGCACCCCAAAGGGAATAAAAAATTACTACGTCAACGTCGTTATTCCTGGGTAGTGCTAAAAATAGTTAATAATTATAAAGTTTTTCGACCTTAAAATGACCTTGATATCTGATCTTGTTATTGAGGTTAAGTTCATATCTTATTGTAAAACTTCCCCCTTTTGTAATTTCTGAGGTCAAAAAAGGTCCCATTTGAAATTTTGAATATGATCTTCAAATGACCTTGAAGTCAAGGTCAAGGTCATGTCCCTCTTTTCATTCTATACCCTTTTGTATAAAAAGAGTTATTCCAACAACATACTCCATTGTCTCAAGATTCTTGTCTTTTTTTTTTGTTGATGACCATGTCATGGCCAAAATATGGGTTACATTGGCATATGACACTGAGGCTTCGACCTACTGAAGATTAAAAAAAAGCACGAAATGGCGCAAAAATTGAGCACCAAAGATACTTTCATTAGCATATAGTCTATGTATAATTGACATGATTGAGGTAATATCACAAAACTCCATCGTTTCAGAAATAATGAATATATTTTGTACTTTTCTGTCACACTGTATATTAAGCTATTATTGTAAATTGTACCAGCAATGCTGATAAATTAATGTTATATAAAAAGAAATAATTTCATCAACTATCAGTACAATAATAAATACAGTATTATTTTTAGAACGAAATACCTTAATTTCTATTATGGCAAGTTATTTTAAACTTGTTTTTGGTCTTCTTATTTGTGATACATTTCCTTATATTTCAAGGTTCCTTCTTGTTTGCAATATTTTCAACTTCTTTTTTCCTCAAATACTTACAATCGTCGATTGCAAAACTAGAACAAAAAGTTTGTAATTTAAATAATTGGCTTTGCCAAATCAACTTGATATTTCTTTAAGTTATAGATAAATATGTATGAACACTATTTTCATTAATTTGTAACATACAGGGTAAGTAATTTAAATTATTTAAATTAGTAGAATGGCATTCCTAAGAAACACCTTGTATTTCCATATTTTAGGTATTTTATTCATATAGTTGTGTCCTGTGATGTACCGAAGAGAGAAAATCTTTCTATTTGTAAATTTACGAGAAATTGTCAATCTTTTGTCAAACTCTTTTAAACCATTAAAAATATTACTATTTTCTTGATTTTATACACAATTTTAAAGTGGCGGACAAGGTTTTGAAGAAAAATTAATTACACGAAATACTGCTTAATAATTAACTCCAGTGAATTAAGTTGGAACCTTCTAGAAAGGCTTAAAATTTTACTATATTTCCTTGTACTGTTATTGAATTACGGATGAATTTTGAGTGTGGAAGTCCTCTCGTGACATTGTAACATTATAATCGATTATTTCCAAAATTAAACGCTAAGAAATATCAATACCATTTCCAAAATTGTAATACCAAGTAGAATTTCAAAATTCAAAATAACTCTACGCCAATATTCTAATATTTTAATAATAGGACAGGGAAATACAATAAAATCCGGTGACCTCTTAGAAGCATTGATCTAAAACCAATCAATTTAAATTTATTGTCAGTTGTTATATAACTTATGACAAAATTGTAAATTGTTGATTAAAAGTGTGGTGTTTGTAGAACTAAATTTAAACGTTGAGAATTGGTTTCTGATAGTCAGAATAATTGCCAATTTTTTTTATTTAAATCATGTGCAATGCGTATTATCCATTTTATGATATTTATCATTCTCAAACTTATGTAAATAACATTTTATTATGTATTAGAAATAAGGATATCTTTAACGAGGTTTATCGGGTATGGAGGTACATCTAAAGTCTAACGAGAGTTTCTGCAGATTCGCTAGTGACTAAAGTAGTAAGCTTTTAGATTTGGCAATGTTGCACTTGGTTGGCTTCGTTTGGATGCCTAAACTTGAAATATACATCATATGTCACACCTGCGAATTTCAAATAATACGCTACTTCGAGAGCCGCGGCGTTGCTGCTATCACGCATATGGAGGTTAAGTTAGTCAACAACGGCAGTTTGAAGGAGAATTATTATAAATTATGTATCTGATAAGTACCCAATCGATTTCTATGAGCTGTCATATAATTCCTTAGATATCGGTTTCCTATTTATACAAGTTGCTGTGGAAACTGTTCGTTAATTGTTGCGCATTCTAAGTGGAAAGACCAAAAAAATCTGCATTCTCATAAGACTACTAAATCGTGAAAAATTATTTTATTAATATCTCGTCTATTAGGTATCCAAACTAGTCATAATTTTTTTTGAGGATTTTCTTCATATTAATAAGCTTATATTAATTTTTTTATGAATATTTGTTCGTCAATTCTAAATCAGATTAACCTTCTTAAGAGGAACAGATAGAAAATAGAAAATGAAATACAATTGGCAATCAGCTTATTCCCAGAGCATAAAATCATTTGCAAATTAATCTGAAACTGTGCAGATAAAAATTTGCGATCTGTGGGAAATTGTCTTATGTGAACAAAGCTAGTAAGTATGCATAATGCAATCCAACACATGAAATAATCATTTTTTTTTAATTGAAATTTTATATTTTCGACCAATTTGTAATATTTCTAAGTGACATTTTTCAAAGAAAATTGGGTCATTTGTTGATAGTCAATTTTAAATTTCTTAAAAAATTGAACATCATGTAAACAAAGTCAAGAAAATAGTAATATTTCTAAGCATGCAAGTAGCGCCTGATTTACCTATAGGCTGGTGTAGGCTGCAGCCTACAGGCCCCCACTAACTAGGGGCCCTCTCCATGTTAACAAAATTTTTTTAACATTTTTTTAAGACGTCGCGATCATGAACAAGAAAGAAAAATTATCCTGAAAAATATAATTTTTTATTAAAATTTCAATTCTATCCATTAAGATATGATTCTAAGAGCTGCCAAGAGGAAGCGTATACAATAAGAATACCTGCAATTTACTAATGCTCTCTACTTTATCTTTATTGGATAGAACATAATCTACCAAAAAGGATTTTCTTTTCTAGAATAGGCCCACCAATATTCAGCACTGTAAATCAGGCACTGCATGCAAGGATTTTATGGCAGTTTCACAATTTTTCATAAATATACAAATGAAAATGTTTTACCTATTCAGGACATAATTTATGAGATACATTTTCATTTTAGTCAATGCGAAGGAAAAGAAATAAATACCTGTAAAGGAGAATTACCAGTGGAGCTGTAGTTAAATGCCACAAGGAATGGCTGTCAAATACATAAAAAAGTGGGGGCTTATCTATTACTTCCAGTAACATAACTATTCCAGTTAATGCCACGAATAATGCACATTTCCAGACATATGGTTGTCTTATACGATTATATGTGCACCAACCAAACCAACATATTGCAGTAAATGTTCCTGAAAATATATTTTTTTATTTTTTTGTCTTTGTAAATAGATAATAAAGGAATTACCTATTAATATATTTAATTCCATATTATATCCATAATCTATTCTTCCCATACTAAGATACATTACATAATTTGCAAAAAACGTGAAGAAGAAAGTAGTTATAGCAAGCAGAGCAAATCGGGGAATTTTGTATTTCAGTAATCTAAAACCCAGCATGTACGAAACTGTATTAATGGAGTTTAGGAAAGTAACATATGAAAATTTAGTGCCTTCTAAAAATTTTAAATAACGTAATTGAATAATGGTATAAACTGAACATCTACCCCTAAGTTTGGTTTTATATTAAAAATACAGGGTGTTCCAGAACAAAGTGTACAATGGAAGACCACAGATTCGTGGGCTCAAAATAGGCAGATTTAGACTAATTCACCTATATCCAAAATCGCTTCGTTTGGCCGCTAGATGGCCTCAAAGTTTGTGAAAATTTTTTGAATTTTGTTAATAACTCAAATACGTATTATTCGATTTTGATTATTTTTCGAGTGTGGACTTTTGCTTTCAATCTACACATTTTGGTGTTATACGGAGTGTTTTTTTAAACCTACAACTTCTACAAAATTGATATATGGTGATAATATCCGTTCATAACTTTTTCCTCTTTCAGGCAATAATGGCAACTATTTTTTATCTGATAGGTGCTACCATTTGGAAGTTTTTGTAGAATTTTGATTAAATGAGCGGTTTGGGTACAAAAAAATTTTGCTAGTAGGCACTGATTTTGTAGATTGATTGTAATTTCATTATGATCCTTAAGTCATTGTGCCTGACAATTCTTAATGAGTGTTTACAACCATAAGATATACCACCTGTTAGTTCATTTTTGGATATGGATACACACATATGACGAATTAATTATTTATAATGTGCCTTTATTCAAAAAATTAGAAAAACCAATCAAATACAACCAATTGATTGGTTATTATTATTGGTCCTGTTATTCTACTCAATGGACTGAATGAATTTTTACAAAACATTACCTGAGTTTTGGAAGTTGCGCCGTTATTACTCAGAGCTAACAAGTGGTTTATGCATGATGGAGCTCCTCTACATTTCACTGTAAATGTCCAGCAGTATCTGAACCAAAGATTTCCTCGTCGTTAACTGACCTGTATGTTCACTAGATTAACACCTTGCGACTATTATCTTTGGGGCACTCTGAAAGCAAGTGTATGCTTCCACATCTGAACACTGAAGAAGAGTTGTGTAGGCAGATCCAAACTGCCATAAATGTTTTAAAAAATTGCCATCAAAAACTGCAAAGTTGTCGAGGAAATAAAGCACTGAACCTCTGAAATCCGTGCAGTAAGATGGATTGTCATGCGTTTTTTTGCATTCGATTCGTTAGAGCATCCAGAAAGTTTGTGACCCTATGTGATCAATGAGAAATGAAAATTGCATTGGTCATAAGAAAAATGCATTTTTAAAATTGCGTTTCGAAGAGTTAAAATATGAAAAATTTATAACTCGGAAAATATTGACAGAAATGAGTTCAATTTTGCTACTAGGGGGTTTTTGGGGTCGCTGAACACGAATATCACGACGGCAACGGCCACCGAGGTACCTAGTGCCCAGGGTGGCTGGTTTCCACGACGTCTCCTGGAGTTTTGTGGAAATTCGTTATAAACTTAGCCGAAACTCGTTACCTTGGGGTTTTTGAGGTCGCTCAACACGAATATCACGACGGCAACGGTCTCCGAGGTACCTAGTGCCCCAGGGTGGCCGGTTTCAACGTCGTCTCCTGGAGTTTTGTGGAAATTCGTTATAAACTTAACCAAAACTCGTTACATCGGGGTTTTTGGGGTCGCTCAACACGAATATCACGACGGCAACGGTCTCCGAGGTACCTAGTGCCCTAGGGTGGCCGGTTTCCACGTCGTCTCCTGGAGTTTTGTGGAAATTCGTTATAAACTTAGCCGAAACTCGTTACCTCGGGGTTTTTGAAGTCACTCAACACGAATATCACGACAGCAACGGTCTCCGAGGTACCTAGTACCCAGGATGGCTAGTTTCTGTGACAACTATTTTATTCTTAATTATTTTTTATTATAAAAATACATTTATTCATTACAAAAAATACATGTTTTCAAAAAATATTATACTATCTTTACAATTTTAATTTTTCTTATTTCACGTGTGTGCTATAACTTGGAGCGTATCCGTATACAGTTCGAAAAGTCCCCATGGTACATCGGCCGTTACGTGAGAGCGATAAAGTAAGTTATAGAAATCCGTGCATTGAAGACGTTTCATAATCTGAATAGTCACCGCCCGTTTCGGGTTAGAAGTGGGAGTGACTATTCAGATTATGAAACGTCTTCATTGTAACCATCCTTGTCTATCGCACGGATTTCTATGACTTACTTTATCGCTCTCACGTAACGGCCGATGTACTACGGGGACTTTCCGAACCTGTATACTAGTATGTGTAAGAGTATATAATAGTAGGTATATATGTAAGAGTAAAACGTGGAAGCAGCGGCTAGCGGTCTCAGTCCTTACCTAAAATTTCATCAATGCTACCAACTGTATTAAAAGAGCAAAATTAAAAAAAAATGTTTTGGATAATTTATTTAGATATTCGATAAAGTTTATGAAGATGACATCAGTACCTCGGATACCATTACCGTTGTAATATTCGTGTTGATCGACCCCAAAAACCCCGAGGTAATGAGTTTCGACTAAGTTTATAACGAATTTCCACAAAACTCCAGGAGACGACGTGGATACTGGCCACCTTGGGGCACTAGGTACCTCCGAGACTGTTGCCGTCGTGATATTCGTGTTGATCAACCCCAAAAACCCCGAGGTAACGAGTTTCGCCCAAGTTTATAACGAATTTCCACAAAACTCCAGGAGACGAAGTGGAAACCAGCCACCCTGGGGTACTAGGTACCTCAGAGACCGTTGCCGTCGTGATATTCGTGTTCAGCGACCCCAAGTACCTATGAGTAGTAAAATTGAACTCATTTCCGTAAATTTTTCATATTTTAACTCTTCAAAAATGCATTGTTCTTATGCACCGATGCAATTTTCATTTCTCATTGATCCCATAGAGTCACAAACCTTTTGGACGCTCTAACGAATCGAATGCAAAAAACCGCATCACAATCCATCTTACCGCACAGATTTCAGAGGTAAGGCTGTTTTTAGTGCTTTATTTCCTCGACTAAAGGGCGTCCTTTAACTTTCTTCACTGAATTAACCTTTATTGTAGAAACAACCTTATAAGTTGTACTAAATTTAATAACATCAACTTTGTTACTTTTATCTCCAGCATTTTTTATTGTATTTGATTGTTTTTACTAGTTATATCAATAAAATTAGGCATGTTGTAAATAACTCTAATTCGTCATATGTGTGTATCGTATCCATATCGAAAAATGAAGTAACGTGGTATATCTTATCGTCCTAAATACTCATTAAGAATTGGCAGGTACAATGACTTAAAGATCAAACTGAAATTACAGTCAACCTACAAAATCAGTGCCTCCTAGCACTTTGTTAAGTATTGTAATATGGGTAGCAAGATAATGTAGACATTTAAAAAATATTTTTTGTACCCAAACTGTTCATTTAATCAAAATTCTAAAAGGGTCTCAAAAACTTCCAAATGGTATCACCTATCAAATAAAAAATAGTTGTCATTATTGCCTGAAAGAGGAAAAAGTTATGAACGGATATTATCAGTATCACCATACATCAATTTTGTAGTTGTAAGTTTTAAAAAACACTCTGTATGACACCAAAATGTGTAGATCGAAAGTAATAGTTCACATCCCACAAAAAAAACAAAAAGATAAAAACTATTATGTATACATTATATATTTTTGAACAGCCCAACTTGTCTGGCATTTTTAATTTGAGTTTGTAAGTGTATTTTTTATTAAAAAACGAATTGCCAGACACCGAAGTTTTCATAAATTCTTTTACAATTATTTATTTTAATTTAATTTTTTTTTTAATTTTCGAACAACCCAACTTGGCATTTTAACCTGAAGTATTTTCAATAGTAATGCAAAATGCCAGACAAAAATAAATTGTTTAAATTAGAAAAAAAAGAAAACCAAGTTTTCATAAATTTTTTTGTAACTTTTCAATTCATTTATACATTTTCGAACAGCTCAACTTGTCTGGCATTTGTACTTATATTGTTTGTACGTGTATTTCTAATTGAAATTCATAATGTCAGACAAAAATAAATAATTTAAACTTTAATATATTTTTTACGAATTTTCTTTTGTCTGGCACAATTTTTCGATTTCCAATTTGTCTGGCAAATTTTTTGTGACAAAAAATATGGGTATTAATTTTAAGTACCCGAGATACCAGACAAATAGTGATCACTGAAAAATGTTAAAAATTTTCACATAATTTTCCACAGAGAAACTCGACTCCGAACATTAAATCTGGCAATTTATTTTTATCATTTTCATAATAAAAATTTTCATTGTTTCGATTGCCAGACAAAAAGTAAACAATGAATTTTTTTTCTTGCAAGTTCACCCCTATGAACCACCCTTTCGGCTATTTAAAACCGTCTGACATTTGAAAATTGTTAGGTACTTATTAATGTCTATTTTTGCATCAACTGCCAGACACTTTAAGATGAGTGCAAAACTAATTATTTTATGCAAAAGGAAATAATTTTTTCAAATTTTCGAACACGGGCCGGCCCTTAAAACCACCCTTATTTTCATTAACTAGGTAACTTATCTTTTTCAGACCTAAAAATGCCAGACATTTTTCGATGACGCTACACTCATGTGCACTAGCTCACGGTCTATTAATGATGTGATGATGTGTAGAGAGAAATAAATGCATATGCGCTGGGTTCTGAAAATTTCAGGGAGGGACTCAGCTGATAAATTCAATGCTACATAGTCATACTTCTTTGGAAATATTTCTATGAAGCCTATGAAGCTGTTTCTCTTAACATACCTAAATATTTGGGATCAATGTACTTCACTTAATGAAAATTAAATAAATTTTTAAGAATTTCTATTAATAATTTAATAAGTACATAAGTTAAATTTCAATAACCATTAACTCTAAAACTCCATGATTTTGTTACTTACCGAATCAACATCACATAGCAACTCATAAGAACCATAGAAAATGCACAAGCATAATCGAATAATTCAGTAAGTGGAAAATCTCTGGCATGGAAGACAGCCGACCAAAACCACGCATGCAAAGAGACCTAATTATAAAATCTAGTTAAATAAATATGCTTCTTTCCAAAAAAATAGATATCGTACAATACAAAAGGCATGCCAGAGCCAGTAAAATGGGCTATCAGGTCTTACATCTTTTCGGAATCTTTTTATCATCTTGAAATGGGCATATCCGTTTAAAACTGAGAATAATACTGAAGCTGGTTCCTGAAGTCCAAAACATCTTATAAATGGCCACTAAAAGGTGGAAGTGTGTAATTATACATTTTACAAATGCATAAAAATATAATATAACTAACTACATATAATAATATATACTTTTCCATAAAATTGTGGGGTTTGCCAATTTCGTTCATGGAAACCCTCAACTGTTTTCCACATACAGTCATATTTACATTCATCAATGCAAGACCACCAGGTAATATATAAAATTAAAGGTTGCTGGAAATTATTTATAAAATTTTGACCACCTAAAAAGTAATGGGACTTGTTTATATCAAAAATAATGTTTATATACATACTAACCTTCACTACAATTTAGTTTTGAACAGTTTTCAAGACATTTCTGATAATATGTGGAACGGTCACCTGCTGAGCAGAAGCAATAATTTATTAATATTATAATGGTTAAACATATTAACAAAAAATCCATTTTCCATTTCTCCGACTGAAATTTTCTGTACTGTTTAAAATATAAATATTAGGCATAGGCAACCACCAATTCAAGGCATTTAAAACAACTGGATAAAGGCGTATTCGTCATGGTTACTCAGTGAATACGCATGAATACGTACTTTTTAATATATATGTCACTACACTTCTCAAATGCTAAAAGGAACCTTTTATTAATAATGGACTACTACTGTCAGTTCAGGTCTGTCTAGTTGGTCCCAACCTAAAAAATAGTACATGTACAATTCTAGTTTAGGCCGACTGTTATTAATGACTATTACTTCGGTTATTTCGGATTTTGCCTTTTTTTATGGAGACGTTGCGGTAGTGTCCTATTACCACGCCCTCAAATACTATCCTGGCCCCAGACGATTACCATCGGGGACTTCAGCGCTAAGTCCCCCATATGACATAGCAGGACCACGACCGCAACAGGTCGGGCCCTGCTAAAATGCCAAAATGCACGCGACAACATAACAATACTCGGACACACAGAAGTCACGTACTACCCTGATAGCATAATCGTGTGCAATTCTAATACAAGTTGTTTCAAGGTTACTTGAAATAGCCAAATTGTGTCAGATTGGTTTTGTGTCTATTGCTGAAATTTATATCGTTTCTTATACAAGATACTTTTACAAGTATCTAACTTAATACTTGCACCAGACTTAACCAAAAGTATTCGAGTCCAAAGGGGTGAACTATTATAAGTCAACGTGTTGCAGACATAGTGAAAGCTTTGATCAAGATAATTGCACAATGAATCTTGCAGTAAACCTGATGCTGATTTCAGCAGTAGGTACACATAGTAGTCTTGTATAAGTGTCTTGTGCAAGATTTTTGCTACCAGGGTATGTACCCATTTTGACTTCCTCGACGTACCAGACATAGCAACAGTGGACACCATAAACGGCTTGTCACCCGAACCCGCTTTCCCCAACACAGTCATGACTAAAACATATTAAATAGACGGGTGAAAGCAGCCGTGGGTGAGCTGGATCAGAAAAGCTCTGTTAAACACTTTCGCAAGACAATAGTCTCTGGAAAACACAGAGGGTGCTGCGACTGCCCGTCCGACGCAGAATTCCCCCAATCCACGGCAGCAGGAGGGTGGTGTACACGAACCAGGAAACGGACAAGGCTTTTGCCGACTGCCTCGAACTCAGACATTTCCCTACACGCTGGAAAACAGCAAACGTAATAGGTTACTTATCCCCAAACTCAACAAATACCACACCTTCCCATCTAACTACCGGCCTTTCAGCCTATGAGTGGTACAAAAAAATATTCTTACTCGCCTAAAATCCCACTCCGAAGAACTGAGAGTCATTCTCTACGAATAGTTCGCTTTCCGCCCCAATCATTTGAACGAACTCCAAATCCAACGCCTCACCGAGTACATCATAGCCTTCAACAAGAGACAGTTCACTGGAGCTGTTTTCTTGGATGTCGCAAAGGCCTTCGATACGGTTTGGCATGAAGACCTACTCATAAAAATGGTCAAGAACTAATATCTTCATCCAGTCCTACTTCCACCAAAATTCCGCATCCAAATCCAAGACACCTTCTTCACAATCCGACCCATGGAAGTGGGTGTCCCTCAAAGCACGTCCTATCCCTGCACCTCCATATCACATACAACTCAGGCATACCCCCAAACACAACGACGACATGACAATAACAGCACAATCTGCAAACGCAAAACGCTCACTATCCTCCTCTATGCGACGTTATTTTTTAGCAATGTTGGCTGCCTAAATGATTTGGGACCGAGGGGGACTATCCCTCTTCGTCCTGCCTCATCGCTGTAGGCCTGAACAGCCTCGTGAATGTGGGCCCCAACCCCAACCGTCGCCGACTCTGACCATAAATAAGCGTGGTCTGTGTAGGCGCTTTGTGGGACCTCCTCTTGTCCTGGCTGACTCCCGCCGGCAGAGGGCCTTTTCTGGTGCTCGTTTTGTATTCTCGCTTCTTTCTTCGCCGGCTTGTATACTCCCGGGAGTAATCATCGTAGCGGGCGCGTGTCAGGGAGTAGAGTTGTAGCTAAAGATGCAGGTGGCCATCGAGCCAAATGACTCAGTGGACTGGTGCAGAGAAGGGTACGTTTAGGTAGCGCGGTCTGCGGTCGTGACTCTTCTTGCATTCTTGGACCTGAAACTTAAAATGGGCAGCAGGGAGGGGGGGAAGAAGAGCTATTGGGGTGGTCACCTCGGGTCGAAGAGTTGGTGCCTAGGTCGTTTGTGAATAGGCTTGTTTTGGTTCTGCCAGCGGACAGTCTTAGAATAGTTCAACATTAGGCAAGTTTGGTATTAATATCGAGACGCTCTAGATGTGTTTTGTTATTTTCTAATTGTAACAGATAAAAAGACAAAGAGATATATCTAGAGCATCTAGATGTTAATGCCGAACTTGCCTATAGTTACCCAAGTATATTGTCAGTATGTCTTGGCTTAGATGTTCTTATGAATGGAATGGTCAACTGATTTGAACTGTCTTCGTTTCTTGATCCTGGCGGTCTCTGAAACAGAAAAGATTAGCGGGCAGGGGAGGAGGATGTCGTTGGGGTGGTCACCCAGGGTCAAAAAGTTGGTGTCTAGGTCTTTTGTGTTTGTCGGTTACGTCGGGTACGTAGTCAACGAGTTGCATGAGGAGGGGATTGTCATGTCTAGCGGCTACGTCAAACCATTTCTCCGCGTTTGGTCTTATTGTCTGTGTAGCGTTTGTGTATTGTAAGTCTCGTAATATGTCAGTGTTTCTTACGTACCAGGGCGCGTCGGTGGCCGTGCGGAGGGCTATGTTTTCCACAGCCTGTAATGACTTTAAGTGGCTTTTTGCCGCGCGACCCCACGCCGTGGAGGCGTAGGTTAGCTGCGGTTAAAGTACCACCTTGATAAGCGTTCGCTTATTCCTTAAACTGAGGGTGTTTCCACCTTTGAGTAAGGGATAGAGCCTAGCCCTGGTGGTCTTCGCTCGCGCCACCGTCTCCACGATGTGCGGTTTCCACGTGAGACGCTGGTCCATCGTCACGCCCAGGTATCGTGTTTGTCGATTCCAGGAGATAGGTTCCTGGGATAGTGTCAGTCTGTCGAGGTTTTGTGGGATTTTTCGTTTGGTAAAAAGGATAGCCGAACTTTTGTTGGGATTAATTTTGACTTTCCACCTGTTGCACCAGGTTTCAAGTTGGTCTAAGGAGTTTTGGAGGAGGGAGACGGAATATCTAGGATAGTATGTGGTCAAAGCGCTTTTCGGCGTTTATCCCGTTATTCGTTTTGTGTGGGTAGCGTTCATGTATTGTAAGTCGCGTAGAATATCTGCGTTTCTTACGAACCAGGGCGAGGCGATGGCCGTACGTAGAGCTATGTTTTCCACAGCCTGGATTGACTTCAAATGGCTTTTTGCCGCGTAGGCGTACGTTAGCTGCGGTTGAAGTACCAGTCCTCCTCCAAAACTCATTAGATCAACTTGAAGCCTGGTGCAACAGGTGGAAAGTCAAAATTAATCCCCACAAGAGTACTGCAATCCTATTCACGAAACGAAAAATAAATCGCTCACGGTCGACAGATGCGATACCTTCAATTTATGATCGCAGAATATTTTTTTCATTAACAACATAGATACAAGTAGGTATATGTTTTTGTAATTTTTCACAAAATAATTGTTTTTTTTACCCAAATATTTATGCCTATTTAAATTGTAATTTGAGGCTAACATTCCATTAAACTGACTGATAATAGTATATTATTCAACGAGCGTATAATGATGGGTATTATTCACGAGGTGAAGTTTACGGCCACGAGCCGCAGGCGAGTGGCCTAAATAACCGAGTGGATAATAGCCATTATACGGGAGTAGAATACTATACTTTATCCACGACTACTAAATATTTTTGTTGAAGTTTTTTTTTTTTTGTTTTTAGTTCGTTTTTTAACACAATTTAACACAAAATATCAAAACACTGAGAAATCTTATGCACACAAACAATCATGTTGACAGGTTTGAGTCAAATTTGTTTTGTTTTAAAAGCTACTTAGATTTATGAAATGTTTCGAAAAACATGGTATGTTAAGAAACGATAGATACGACACGAACAAACGAAGTCTCTGATGGCTCAGTGTAGATGCTCCTTCCCTACCAACCGCGGGTCCCGGGTTCGAATCTGATATAGGAAAATTCAGTTTTTTAATTTTTTTTTATATATACAGCACCGAATTGAAAATATTTAGTGGTTTACACGATAAAATTTTAAAAACCGATTGTTTGTAGCAGAACAATATAATATTTTAGCTAAATCAAGGAAGCATCTGACAGTAGTGATTAATGTCTCATTAATGACTGCCGTGATTAATGGGTATTAATATGGTCGAGCAAACAGACGTATAATGGGTACATTATACAATAGTCGTGGATAAACTTACTTATAAAATATCTCAACATGAGATGCAGTAGAGTGTTACATCTATCGTCAATGGTCACTGCTACTTAGTGCCTATGGCTCCAAACACTGACAAGGAACAACTTGCATTATTACAGGTATTATAATAACATGACTCATTGCGAATTCAATTTAATTTAGTTTGAATTAATAAAAAAATATTGGCAAAATTATTAATAAATATGTGTATTTTAGTAATCTTGTAATTTTGTTATTTGGATGTTTTTTTTAATGTGCTGTAACTAATTTTTGAAACTATAAGTGTAGTTTTACTCATAGAATCAATAGATATCTACACATTTTTAATGGAGTTGAAAATTAATGTCTTCTAGCATTTATATTATTTTTATAAAGTCTGTCTGCCACAAATTCGTCGTCTTCCTCTTCTGCTATTCACCTGAATGTAATTAAAAACATAAGAACATAAACCTAATTAGTAACTTTTTAACATTTTTTGCCTAACCTTACTTTCAATTTACAACCTTACATAAATGTAGTTAATATTAGACTTATGCCCGCACTAACTCTATCTCTCTCGTACATGTCTGTGTAGCTGCTGTTTTAATGTTAGTTCGGTGTTCGGTGGTGGAAACCGCACATCGTGGAGACGGTGGCGCGAGCGAAGACCACCAGGGCTAGGCTCTATCCCTTACTCAAAGGTGGAAACACCCTCAGTTTAAGGAATAAGCGAACGCTTATCAAGGTGGTACTTCAACCGCAGCTAACCTACGCCTCCACGGCGTGGGGTCACGCGGCAAAAAGCCACTTAAAGTCATTACAGGCTGTGGAAAACATAGCCCTCCGCACGGCCAATGACGCGCCCTGGTACATAAGAAACACTGACATATTACGAGACTTACAATACACAAACGCTACACAGACAATAAGACAAAAAGCGGAGAAACGGTTTGACGTAGCCGCTAGACATGACAATCCCCTCCTCAGGCAAGCCGTTGACTACGTACCCGACGTGACCGACAAACACAAAAGACCTAGACACCAACTTTTTGACCCTGGGTGACCACCCCAACGACTCCCCCCCCCCCCCCTAACCTTTTCTGTTTCAGAGACAGCCAGGATCAAGAAACGAAGACAACGACACACACACACACACACATACACACCCCTCATACCCTCCTTTCCCCTCCCCTCCCGCGCTGGGCTAAGGGCCACCTTAGCAAAGCGCATCCCAGGCTGCATAGCCGCACTACCCTACCCAACCATACCACACATAAACATGACACTACCCCCGGGGTTTACACAGACGAGCCGGCGAAGCAAGAAGAGCGCCAGAAGAAAGGGCCCTATTCGGCAGGGCCCAGCCAGGACAAAAGGAGGTCCCACAAAGCGCCTACACCGGCCGCATTTGCGGTCGGGGTAGACGACGGATGGGGCCCACCTACGAAGGCTGTCCAGGCCTACACGAGATGAGGCAGGATAAAGAGGGATAATCCCCCTCGATCCCAAATCATTGAGGCCAATTTCTAGCCATGGAATAATGGTGCGGTGTTCGGTGCCTCGGTGGGTACTGGGTAGTGGGAGTGGGTAGTTCACTCAGTCCGGTAGTTTTAAGGTCTATGAAATTTATTGATCCATCTGTTTTTTTTAAATCGTAAACTTTATTAAATAATAATTGTAGATTTAAAAATATGTAAAACGGAAAGTGTGTAATTTTAAAATAATTGTATGTATTGAATGACATCTACTTCATGATTTAATAAACGATGTTATTATTGAAATATTGAGGTTATGTTTTCATTGTTTACTTATACATAATTTTTATTAAGAAAGAATTAACTCAAATCAAAATGATACCTCCTGTTGTTCCTGGACAGGCAGAAGAAAAACAAAATATGGTTGGCTGGGTAAGTGTTATATTGTTTTTTTAATTTATAGTACGTATATCACAAGTAAATCGCTATTCAAATTTTATATATCAAACTTCTCTCCTCAGTTTCTTTGGATCGTCTATCAAAATGTACTAAGATTTCTTCTAAATTGCTTTAGGCTTTTTTATTTATACCATGCAGGCTTGACAAACGTAATATAACATTAAAACAAGGAAATAAAATACTCTCACACCATGAAATATCGATTATAAACATTTTAGGAGATTAATATAGAATTATTTTACAATTTCAGATGATTCTCATATTTGTCTTTTTTAGAAAAATACTTTTAATATGCGTCAAATAAGCTTGATGAATTTAGCTGCAAGCCAAATAGGTGTCAAAAACGGAACAAAGTCGCTAATTCCCAATTATAGAAGAGCCTACAGCGTAACAAGTCCAGCAAAATCTTTGGATTTATTAAGAAAAAATTTACAAAATGCTATTAACAAAGATATAGACAATGTAATAAAGAAATATATTGAGGTAAAGTATATCCAACATTTTGAACTCCTTAAAGGGGAATATGTCTATGAAAATCTACTGTAACAGTACAGTTTTCTAAGTACATAAGTGAGAATATAATAAAATATTGTTTATACTCGTAGTTAATGTTGCTAGATCTTTAGTTTTAAGTGGAAGTCTCTTAATTTTTAGAGTAAATGTCTGTCCCTTAGCAGAGAAAACAATTTTTTTGACTGAAATGAAAAGGAGAAAGACCTATAAATATTTTTTTTCCAGAGAGGCGGCCGAAGAGCCATCCCTCTGAGTTTTTTGCTGACATTTTGCATTTATCAACAGGTACTGGGGCGGCCAATCATATTCGCCCAGGGTGCATAATTTAGAAAATGTCCCTGAGTAGTATTAAAAAAAAAACAATAAAATTTTGTAGATACTTAACATTGTTAAAGATTTATTTTTTAGAAATTTTTTCAACCAGCTCTGAGTAATATAAAAAATAATCTGGGAAAGGACAGCGTTGGTGAAGACCATATTAGAGAAGTTTGCAAACAAATGTTAGAAGAAGCAAAGTTAATGTATAGTGTCACACCTAGTTCTAGGGATAGTTCACCATATGAATATAGCCATAGTGAAGCAGAATCAGAAACTAGTGTTAGCGATGGACGTATAGGAAGAACTGTGAGTATTTCTAATATAATGTGTCATTGTACCTAAAAATTTCATTCAAGCATGTTTGAAAGTAATTATCAATGTTGGTTGTTTATAATGTTAGTTAAGTTAGTTAGTTAGTTATAAATTAACACAAAAGACATGTTAATCCGTCTTGAGTAAAATTAATTTATAATTTTTAAATAGTGATAATTTTTTTAGAGTCCATTTACTCACAATAAGAGAAAAGAGTCAGACACAGAGTCAGAGAATACCACAACAATTAGTCTATTGCCAACTGTTAAAAGACATAGGAACAAGTCTCATAATTCTACTGACTACAGTAGTTGTAAGTTGTCATTAAAACGAGACGGACCAAAATGGAATCCAGACAGAGTGAAGGGCAGCACATTATTTATTATGGGGGCTAGGGCAAATAAAGTGTTAGGTTATGGACAGACAAGAGGAAGACTGTATGTGAGGCATCCAAATCTTGTAAGGTAAGAATTATTATATTTGTATTTAAAATTTTTCTGTGTATTTGTATTTCTATTTTCATCAATCATCCATATGCTCTGCGTAATAGTTCCTAATTAAGGATTGTAATAGGTAATTATTATGTTCCATTTGATTTTTTAATAAATAAATAAACCCAAATATCTTTAGAGTATCAAAAGTACTACTTGATTTTCTACAGTAAAAGTTCGTGAAAAGTACTGTTTATATCTAAGTATCAGTTGATTAAAATATATATATATTTCACAAATATAGGTGTAACCCTCTGGAAATTTCAAAAATTTCATTCAAAATTTTCTAATACAAAACTTCCCTGGGCCAGGATCCCCTAAAAAACAGTATGGGTCCCACACTTTATATCAAAATATGACCACTTTAATTTTCTTAAGACGTTAATACTTTTCCATTAATTATTGTGGAGGATGTGACAATAATCCACACTTTCTTGAAGACCAACATCATATATTATCTTTCAAAATAATCTACGGGGTTATATTTTTTTGAAGTTACAACTTCTTTAAATCTCCCAGTAATTTTCTTTACCCCTTTAAATGTTTAAATAATTTTGAATAAAATTTGTCATAAACATGATCACATTTTTTATGTCCACTGTAAAATTTTGTTATAATTTTTAGTTGTTTTTCATAATTTTTATTGACTTCTTTACTCAAAATTACTGAAAACTAGACACTATATATCAGTTTTCTGAATGTTTGTTTTATAGAAATGACTTTTTCTCTACGAACCATTTAAATTACAAATTCTGTAACATAGGGTGCTACACCTTGTATGTCGTTCTTCCCCATGTCAACTACCATCTTTGGTTGACCATCTTCCTTAGGAAAAAAGTAATTATAAAAATGTTACAACTTTAAGGGTAATACCCGTATAGGGAATCAGATTTTGTTGAAAACTTCAATAATTTATTGTTGGTTTCTTTTTATTAATATTATATTATAATTTAATTTAGAAACAATTTATTTTCCTAAAAATTATTAACATAAAATCCTAAAATGATCTTACAACTTTTATAGGAATCTTCTTTCATAAAATCAGAAAAAAAATTACCCATAGGATCACTTTCGATGGACAACTCTTTACATTATACTTGCTTTCTAGATATTCTGGTGACCAGGAAGATAAAGAATGGCTAGCCTCCAAAAACTTAATGCCCCCAAGCGGCGGAAAGGCTTACTTGATGCTTCTAGAAGATATCAAAGAACTAACAGAAAGTGACGAGTACAAATATAGCCCAAATTTGCAGCTTCAGGAACTGAAAGGATTTGAAGTTCCAATGTTTTTATTACTGAAGATAAAAAACTTTATAGAGTATGTAAGAACTGAGAGAAAACTCTTGGCACATGTTGACATATATGAAGATCAGAGCCACTCTTCTACCCCTCCTTCTAATGTTGCTCTAGATTCTGCTCCTTCTACACCATCAGACACTACTGTTTCAGTTGAAAATCCGATAGATAATAGTTTTAAGCAAGACAGTTTTCTTAATATGTCATCTGATATGAGTAATAATTTAAGCAGTTCTGTAATTTCCAGTATTTTAGCAAATCATTTATCTACCATTAATAGTACTGATAGTTCTCAAGATTTTTAAGAAGATTCTGTCTTGATTTAGATTTTTATTTTTTATACCATATTTATTGCCTTTATTTATTTTTTTGCTATTTATTTTACTTTTGTTGTATAATAAAGTGAATGTGTTTTGTGTCTTATTTTTTTTCTTTTAATTAAAATTTTCTCTTAGGTATTACCAAAAACAGCACAAACCAAATATTTTTTTTACCACTTTTAAACAACATTTGTTTGCCTTGACATTTTGAAAATGAATTCAAAAATTAATTTTGACTATGGATGATATTTTGACAATGTTTTGAAAAAAATCTTAAAAATATAAGAAAATCAGAAATATTTCAGGGTGAAGTTTTAAGTCTTGATACTGTACTGAATTAGAAAAAAAAAATTGCTTTTTGCCCAATTAAAAAATAACATTTCTTAATTTGAAATAAAAAAATACTAATAGGCAAATCACAAATGTGGAATAATTAATACTTAATAATTTTTTAGTTGGACAAGGGTCTAAATCAAAAATTGACTAACCGAGCAAACAAAATAAAATTCATACTTTTTAACAGAGTATGATACTGTCCTGTATTTTGACCTGCTGAACACGATGGAGACATCAGAAATGTTCCATCACAGGATTTAAAATCGGTGGAAATCTCGATTTTTTGTTAAAATAGTTAAGATTCCGAAATCATTATAATAGGGTCAAAATAAAAACTTTATTCCTTCACTTTTTCTCTAAATTCCTTCTTTGTTGAATTATATATAGCCATTTTTAACCAATTTTGAACATTGAAATGCCTACAACTCCTCAATAATGCATTTTAGAGGAAAAGTGCAAGAATAAAAGTGTCGGATGTGATTCATTAAGTTTTGCTAGGTTTAGAATTTGTGGTTTATACCTTTCTGTTCTTTTAAAACTCGACTCTGTAGGTTTTGTTAAGTTTAGAATTAATGGTGTTGTATGTCATTATTCTAGTTTGTTTTTAAGCTCCTTTATTTATGTTACAATTAAAATTCGGAGTTTATGAACTTACTTTCTTTAATGATAACGAACTCTTTTGCTTTCGAAAAATCTATGCAGTGGTGCTCTTTTTCTTTTTTCCAGTTTTATAATATCTTGAGGGTTGCTTTCGCTGTACAGCAAGAAATAAACGCTCTCTCAACGGTAATAATAAAGAATTTTATTGAAAACTAATGTATAGAAAACTTGTGTGGAAAAAACGTGTTGACGGTGTCAGTGTTCGTTGGAGAGTGCCTTCTGTGTGGAGTCGATCGTAGGTATATTGGTAGTTGCTGGTAGAAGTCCCTGCTCCTTGGCGCCACTCTGCAGGGGTCGTCTTCCGGGAACCCCGTGGTGCGTCCGGCGGCGTTCTTGACGTTGTGCTTAAAAATGGGTTACTTGCGAACATGGTGTACCCACAATTTCTTCTCAACTCCAACAGTAATCCGCAATCATATTCACCCCATTTTCCTTGATACTGTCGCGGGGTCGCGGAATTACTCTGGTCTCTGCTTCTTCTAGAATTAAGGCCCTCGGTTGATCGTCTCGTTGCGGTTGTAAATAGGTGGGTTGTCGATCCACGGTAGCAGCCCCCCGTTATGTGCCGTGACGTGAATGCGTCTCATTTCAGCCTGCTGCCGGCTGAGGAGACCTGGACTGCGTTCAACTCACGACTTTCTTAAATTAAACTTTAAGAAATTCATGGTTCAACTACAGCTTATGCCTAACTTGTTAAAGTGTTTACACCCCTGCCATTATATCCTTTAGCAGTTCTGCAGAGTTTGGAACGACAAAAGTCAACAATTGTCAATCACTTCTAGTGTTCTTCTGCTCTAACCTAAATTTCTATTTCTACATTTTTGAGTTTAATTTTTAGTTGTTAACAATGGATCAGCAGAGACAAATAATACTACTTAATGCTAGCCATAAATTGTACTTTGAATCATGTAGAAATGGTGAAGAAAGCTGTATTTATATTATTAGAGGTAATATAAATAAAAAGTGAATATTCCTTGATTAATGATTACTCACACTCACAATAATATTTTCCAAAATGATAATAATAATGATAATAAACGAAAATGTTGATATCTATTCATTTGTATATAACCTTAACCTTACTTTATTCAAATGTTCAAATCCACCAATCAAATTCATTAAAACCATTTCTGGTGAAACTTAAATGTGCATCCATAAGTAGTATGGCTTTGGATAAATAAAGTGAGATTGGAACGAGAACTACCAACCATTTTAGTTTAGCATCATAACATTTGGAACGAATAATGCTAAAATTGGCATGGTATAAGCTTCTTGTGAACGCACTCCTCTTAGACTCTCCTCCGATCATCATCAAGGGGTCGTAGACCCGTATGATGGGATTGGCGGGATTGTAATGTCCAGGGTCTCCCTTTACCTCCGGTGCGAGTGCGTTAGTCGCCTGCTCGGGGGCTGGACAGTTCCCTGGCATTTCATTCCTCTTCCTCTTGATATAAGGCCCTGCGACCATCAACAAGAGAAAGTGAGATTTCCGATCCTCTGCCATCGCGATGAATTCGAGGAGCTCAAGAAAAAATTTCACGATCTACTTGTTTGTGGTATGGTTGCGACCTACACGGCCGTTGGAGCACTAACACTTTTCTTTTCCAATTTAGGACACTTGGAAAATGTTTTGGTTTGGGTTTTATAGAACTTTTTTTGGGTCTGATACCCTAGTGTCTGAAAATCACTCTCCTTATTCACTAATGTTTGCACTGTATACGGACTCCGTAGAGTGCCTGTATATGAGCGTATGAAAGCTTGAGTTTTAGCGTTTATATGAGAATATTGACCCAGACTCAAAAAAAAACGAGATATCCCTAATTTTAAAATAAAGAAATACCCGAATTTCGGTTTGTTATGTTTATATGATTCCTTTTTATTAGTTTACGGTTTGTATTGTATCAGGTTATATTATGTGTAGAGTTTACAGTAAGTATATGCCATTTTGCTTGTTTATCCTGCGATCAGTGCCGGCTCGCCAGGTGACGCAAGTGACGCATCGCTTCACCTAAAATTTCCGTTTGGTTGTGCAATTTAAAATTATTTTTAATTTTATACAAATTTAATCATTTAGATATAATTCTATATTGCGCGGTGAACGCCTTCTAAAAAAACATTGCCTTCGTTGAGCACGAACATCAACCTCGGACCATACAACGTTTAGTATACGCAAGTGACGCACATTGAAATCAGTTTGTATTCTGCTTCTCTTCGTAGCATTGTTTACGGCGGTTGTCATGGCAACGAGGCGGCCAATACGTGATTAAACTACGGCGTGGGGTAACGAGTGAAGCAGAAATTGAATCAGCATCGCCCATCGCCTGCCTTTAAAGGCGGGTATCCATTTGTGTCAAATGCCACATAACGTAACACCGTTACAGCTAGTGGAGAGGGAAAATTGTTGCATGGTACGTGTAACAAATTTGACACTCGTAACTAATCCGGGACGAACCAGTTGTCGGTTTTTAGTCGTCGCATCAAAGGGATGCAACAGTACTTTCTGCCACATGTTGAGACGGGGTTACCTTTTTGGCCGTAACGTTGCCTGTTGCACATGTTTATCGTTATAATTTTGTCGTATTTTTAGTTTCGTCAGTCTTTTGTATATGGTCTGGAGTCAGTCTGTTGTCTGCAGTGACTAGGAAGAGTATGTTTTTCTGTTTGTGCCAGGGAGTGGAGTAAAGAAAAGATTCAACTTGTATGATGAATAAAAATATATGACGCTGATGCTAACTGCAATTGCAGTGACGAATCCATTATTGCAGTCAGGTTCATCGTGCGAGTTTATGTTCCTGTGTCGTCTCGTAACCTTATTTTGTTACGTTACGGAATGAATGATATGACCAAAGCCACACATACTTTCGCAGCGAAGAGGGTCACCTTTTGCAACAGGCCGTAACATGTTCGTTGTTACGTGACGGGGCATTGCCAGAAGTGGATACCCGCCTTAACAGTTTATACGATACGCGTCGCCCAGTACCTACACGATTATAACGGTTCTTTGTTAATATTTGTTTTGTATAATAATTGTAGAAATGTTTCCTATGTATGATTCAGTATGTATTTTATTCCAAACCTCATTTTCCAGATGGAAAGTTGAGGACAAATAGGATTTTTTAAATTGCGAGAGACCTGTGCCTTATTCTCTCGATATGGAAAAAAGGGGAAGTCAAAAGACAACGGGTACGTTCGAAAGTTTCGGAATGAATTGTATTCGGAGTATAAGTGGTTGCGTGAGAAAGGGTTCATTTAAAAAAACTTTTCTGTATGCCGTGTTTATTTGTGGGTGTAAGGTCGGGCGTGTGGAATAAGAAGGGATTTAACAATTTTGGTGTAAAGTCACGCGAGTTTGTCGTAACCATAAAGCTTCTTTGGAACATACATGTACGGTGTGCGTTAATGTTGGCAAAAGTCCACAATTCGAACTAATATTTCAATTTTTTATAAAATCTAAATGAAAATCCTTCTCACGAACGTCAGTTTTTCGGTAATATTGCAAATGCAACAAAAAATTTGTAGATTCATTTAAAGCTGTTTGAAAATTTGAAAATTTTCGAGAGCGGCGCTTTTTTTTCTCTTTAGTCAATCAATGAATATGCTTCACCTATTCTCAATGTCACGAGGCGCTACTGCCTGCGATTTATTAGGTTGTGCTACGTTTTGAATTTGTAGTTTATACCAGCTTATTCTGTTAAAACTGGACACGACTATGCAAGAGAAAACTGTATTCCATGTTTCTCTGGCCTGATGACTGATGCATAAAAGATATTAAACTAGGTTAAATAAATTAATTTAATTTAAAATTCAGGCAAGTGATATCTAAACTCACGGAAAAGATTCTAACTTGAAAAGCCTCATTTGAAATCAGTGCCATCTCGAATATATATTCAGTGTGGTTAAATGTGAATGAATTACAGTGTGGATCAGATCACTAAATAGAACACTTCGTCACCGATGGAAGACGACCGAGAAGCGCGACGTACAGTACGGGATGCTACAATCGAATGATGGTCAGGGCCCGAGAACTTATA